ATTGTTGAGCATTATTTGAAGAATATAAACATTGAAAAGGCTAGTGGTGGGATGGGTGTGTCCTGAATTTCTGGAGAAAGTGAAAAGCAGTACAGCAGATGGTGTGACTTGTTAGGTTCTACTCACAGTGTTGTTTGCAGGGCGAAGTGTTCGGTGCTCCCCTAAGATTGCAGCATGGTCCACTCCTACCCTCCTGCTTAAAGTTCCAGCAGGGTGATGTGTTCGCTGCTCCCCTAAGATTGCAGCATGGTCCACGTGAATTGCTTCACGTACAGAGGCGGCTGTTGTACTCCTTATATTGTCTATACGTAGAAGGGGAGCTGAAGTGGGACAGTGGGCAAAGAATCCACCCACTAATGCTCCGTCTTCGCTTCCACTCCTTTTCATGAACATGCTCTGACCACACGAGTAAAACATATTTTGGTTTTGTCAGGGTTTAGGGGCACATCCCTGGTGTGTCTACTTCACAAGTGGCAGTTTTGATGATCATGTATGGTGGATGAAAACATTTGGAATTGTCCCTTGATATGAGCTACTCCGATTTCACCCACTTTGTGATGACAAATGGATAATTATAATAATTATACTATTATATCATATAATATAATTATATAATAATAATAATATATCATATACCTCAGAAAAGTTCACAATTTGTTTTGTACCAAGGACCGGTCGGCCAGTATCTGTGGACCGACAAGTTCGCGCTATTGAAGGATCAATACGTTTTCAAAATAAAACATCTTTTAGGCTTCATTCTGTTAGTTTAAGAGTCTGAATGTCCTATTGTTTTGAAACTTTGACAGAAGTAAATTAGTCAAACTGAAGTACATTTATTTCACTCTGGCCCTGTACAAAATTATCTTTGGAACAGTACCGGCCCACGAACCGGGAGTTGGAGATCCCTGATATACAAGACAGAATATTAACACAACTGTACATGTAGTACAGCGTTAATGTGAGCTACATTATGTAACCTCCTGAGGCAGTGGGTTGTAACATCACTGGGGAGACCAGCCAGCGAAGCCTACGACTTTTAGAAAAGAAAATATCGCATTAGCTCCTATGTTGTTTTTTTTTCTTTTTCTTTTTTTTATTCAAATAAAAACAAGGAAGAGTCAGAGCTGCTGTATCACGCTGTGATGCTCTCC